GTGATTAGCATGCACAGGCCCTGGGTTCAGTCTCTTGCCGCTACCCCTGCCCATCTCATACAAAGAAGATGCTGATTCTTAAAGTGATGGATGCTTCTGGCAGGCATACATGTGCTATTCTGGCATATAGATTCAGGATCACAGAGAACTGAAAATGTTAACAGCTACAAAGTAGTCCCCATGTCTACTGCTGTACTGTAAAAATATAAACCATAAGTTGGGAAAGTCAAACTACAAGACAAATACTTAGTTTCCCTCTTTAGTTATTTGACATTGTTTTTTATTTTTAAATTTCAGGTTACAGATTGGTGAAACCAATGACAGGTTGTTTCCTTCAGCCAGCCCACAAACACTTGCAAGAGAGCATGTCTACCAGACAAATGAACAGAAAGTAGAAAAACCAGAAAGGAACAAGTGTTCTGAGTGGCATAATACAGAAAATTCTGAGGGAACAGGTTTGCCATTTCACCTTGACGAGAGTTTTTTGGCTGGGAAGAGAGTTGACAGTAAGGAAACAGCCTCACCGTCTTCATTGTCTTCATCTGTGAAGACTGCTGGACTAAAGCCCGAAACTGGACCCCTCATGTTTTGGCCACAGCAAAACATCCCAGAGCAGGGTTACTCTGAGAACTCTCTCTCCAGAGAACTTACACTTCTGTCTGCCTGCAATGCTGACAGTTGTCAGGTGCCAAAACTCCACTGCCTCCGTTCACCACCCCCTCTGCCACCAAAGAAATACTCGATGACCAGTGTGCCAAGGTTAGAGAGAGCTGGATTTAACCCTGATGTCAGGGTTTCCGAGGCATTTAACACTAATTCCTCCAGTCTTCCAAAACACAGCTTGAGTACAGCCTCAGGATCAAGTTTAGAAGGAAGTTCGTACATGACCCAGGAAAGAGATAAAGAAACAATTCAAGTGAAGCAACATGCTGCCAACAGCTACCCATCCAGTTTAACTAATGATTTTCAGGCAAACTCAAAAGCACTAGTTGATATGTTTTGCCAGCAAGATCAAGACTCCAGTTCTGTGGGTCCAAATGAGACAATTTCATTAACTACCTATTTCTCAGTTGATAGTTGCATGACTGATACATACAGATTGAAATACCATCAAAGACCTAAGCTCTGTTTTCCAGAGAACAGTGGCCATTGTAGTGATAATTCACTATCTCAGACTGAGCAAGTAGAGGGATCCATTACTTAATGGCCATCTTTCTTCAACTATCCTTCTGAACAAAGATGAAAAACCCTGGCATGGATTGTAAGATAAATGAACTAGCCATTAAAAATACCAACTGATACAATCTAATGATATATAAAATAAAAGCTGGTATTTTGAAAATTACTAATCATGTTAACATATATTTTATTATCAACTTACTAAATATTTTAGAAATTTCCTTTGAGTGGTCTTGGTGTGCCTTGAAAAATAAGGAAGTATATAATGAATTTGCTGTATGTAACAGTTAAGTAAGCACTGTGTCTTCTACTATTTGGTTAGTAGATGTGTAACTATGAAAGTACCAGTGTTCATATGTAGACTGGTGTATTTTGCTAATTAAGAAATACAACGTGTCTAGGAAAGCAGTGTTTGCTTTTGCAGAGCACTTTCTAGTGGGTAACCAAGAGATGGCTATATCCACATGCTTTTGACTTCTGTGATAGTCTAGTACATGTGATCCTTCAAATGTCTTAAAAATACCCATGGATTTGTTATGTTATCATCTGGAAAGCATTTGCCTTAATAATGAAAACATTTTAATAATCTCAAGGTCATATGAAATTTACTTTGTTCCTAGAACTTTTCAGAATATCTATTTAACATAGTTAGCCTTTAAAACTTGTAGCCAAAAATATTTCAGTCATGTAAGTTAAAAATATGGTAGTATTTATCTTATTAAGTTGTTTTCTAGATTTATATGAAATGTGAAAGGTCTTCCCTTTGGTTTGATTTACTTTAGGCTGCTAATAACCCATGTTACAAGTTAACATTGGGCCTCTTACTGGGATGGTCACTGCTGCTTTGATCACTTCAAGATTGTTAGATTGTCAGTGCTTTTACTATTGAAGCTTCCAGGTTAAATTTCTGCCTTTATGTAAAGGTTTAATCTTAATGAAATGTTCTTTTTTTTTTTCCCACTTAGTGATTTTATCTCTACTACCATCATGGCGTGGAGCTTATTTAATGACTTTTTTTCATTATTTTGTGAAAGTAAGCTGAATTGCCTTATTTTTATTTTATTTTGTAACAGGCTGAAAAACTAACTAGTTTTATAATAGTTTCATAATGACTACTCCAGAGTGAGAACTACAAAATTAGTTCTTTATTATCTCTCTGAATGGGTAAGGCTCATAATCATTACTTTAAAACTTATAGCTTGGCGAGTCCCACAAATTGTTAAAACCAAAACCCAACATTTGTTTAAGAAAAAGTACTTTTAGCTAAACTGTACATTGCTTATAAAAGTGTTGTCAGTTCTTAGCCAAACCCTGTTTTTGTTCTTTTCCAGCATAATTGGTGATCGTTACTTTGTATTCTCTTAAGGAACACTTGAATATAAAGTTAAAATTTATCCTTAAAGATTATTTTTAACAGCTCTTAGTATGGAGAGTTTGTAAATAATGTAAACTTTGTAAAATTGTATTTGAAATGTCAGTGTTTATAATTCTTGCTTTTTTAACATTGTAAAATACTAGAAAAGATCTTGTTATTTTTAATAGTTTTTAAAAGATTTTTAAGTTTAAAAAAATCCTATTTGGTCTATATTCCCTGTTGGGAATGTATTATTGAAACAGAAACCTAATCTCTGTATTTTACAGCAGTTTCATAGATGTACCTTTTCAACTCAGTTGAGTTTGCAAACAGAAATGTCATTTCTCCTTTTAATTGGTACACTACTCAGTTAAAACCCTCTGCATTATGTAAGAATGACTGAAATAGAAACTGATCATTGTTGATTCAACACAGAATAGATTCAGTACATATTGGCTAATTAATTGTATGTATTTCTTTTCTGGTGCCTATTTTTAACCAATGTTTCTGTGTTAATAACCTTGTAACTTCTTAAATAATGTAATCATGTTTCAAATAGTTATCTTCAGAATATTATATTTTCATGTGAAATCAATTTCTTTTGGCTCAAAAAAAAAGAGAGAGAAACTCCATTTTAAGCAGTATAGCTGGTCGTCTTTTCTTTGCATTTATGAAGTGTGGTCCCCTTCCTCACATTATTCAATCTATGGGAAACATTAAAAAACAAAAAAAAATTAAAATTCACAAATGTTAGCCTAGGATGTTCCTAAGATTTGCAACCCATCAAAACCACAGCTCCTGGCAGCTGTTCTATAGAGGGCAAGATGTCAATGATTTAGACTGTGGACAGTAAATCTCTGGAACACAGCATTTGGGTTGAAAACAACCATGAACAAGTTGTAATGGATGTGTAGGGCTGTTTTTCAATAAAAGTTTACCAACATCAAATCTAGATTATATGTGATTTTCATGTAATATGAAATTATTGTTTTCTAATCACTTCAAATTATTAAGAAAAAGAAAACCAGCTAGGCACCTTTACTCCTAGCACTTAGGAGGCAAAGGCAAGTGGATCGGTCTGAGTTCAAGGCAAACCTGGTCTGCACAGCTGTGTACAGGGCCACACAGTAAGACCCTGTCTCAGAAAGCAAAATAAAATGTAAAAGCAAAAGCAAATCCATTCTTGACTAAGAAGCCTTATAGAAAATATTTGGCCGAATGTCCAGGCTTTATATGGTCACTGACTTCCAAACATATCTTGTTTAGTGCCCAGTGTCTGGAGCTCTTTACATCCTGTAACTCGAGATTAATGCCTCCCTAAAAAGTTCTTTCAAATCCTAAACCAATTCAAATGCAACTATCAGGAGCTACTTCATGTTTAGAAACCAAGTGTGAATTTACAAAGGAACTTACCAGATTACTTCTTGCTGTCTTTGATGGGAACAAATTTGCAGCTTGCCTCAAAGTGCCATTTATATATTTCTAGTAATGTCTAAAGTGTGAGCATCATAGTTTACTAAAAAAACAAAAAAAAATTCTCAATTATCTATAGGAGTTGGAGCCTTCATGCTGTTCCTATGTGGCAATTACAGCTATGTATTAAGTATACTTGAGTTCTTTGGAAAGAGCACTATATAGAGAGGATTATTGCAAGAAATTGTCTTATGTGAGCCTCAGAAATCTCATCTCTCTAGGTTTGAAGCCTAGGGAAGCTTGAGTTCTAGTCCAAACCTTAGGACTGGCCAGAGATGAGAACTCAGATCTCTAAGTACTGAAGTCCACGCAGATGCCATGCCTGGAAACAACTGAGAGACTGGTAACCTGAGCAATGGGGACAGTAATGAAAAGGGCTGGAGCAGAGTTTATTAAATACATCTGTACAGCTACAGTGGGCATGACAGTAAAGAAAAACACTAGTACACTACAGGGGCATTAAGGCAGTGGGTCAATGTCAAGGGACTCAGAACAGTCCCAACTGGGGCCCATTTTGGTTAACTTTAAGTTCAGAACAAGCCTGCTTATAGATAACAGCTGTGCTCTGAACCCAACTTGTCCTGAAGATTCTATGCTACTGTCTTGTTCTGAGGCACAGCCTTCAGTCATCTCAGGATGGTACCCACACAAATAGATGTTCCAGCAGAGATCTGCCTTCTCTTTTCATCCAGGTTCTAAAAGGGGGGAATGACTGGTCTCACATCAGGGAGGGTTCCTTTACTATTTTTCCAGCATATTAGCTTCTCTTCCTGAAGCTCAAAGACAGACCCAGGATCTGTTTTACGATCTATCATGGATCCCTTAGCTCAAAGTGACACCAAAACTCACCATCATACTAAGGTCTCCATCCTAGAAATGTCCAGAGTAGCTGGCAGCTGTGGTATTCTCTTGGAGCTCAAGAGCATAAAGTACATGTGTGACCTAATAGAAAGCTATTAACCTCCCCACTACCACTAGAGACTCTGACACTAAATTCAGTGATTAAACATTTATTAGAGAAAATAGTAAGCAGTACAAATCAGGTCCCAGAGTGTGGCAAACTCAGTGCCCTGTGTTTAATCCACATACCTCAGTTACATTTTGCACAAAATGATCCAAGCAAATGCAGCAGTATCTTAAGACAATGGTTAACCATTAACCAAATATTGTGAATTCTAAGAGAGAACACCCCCTCTGCATATTTTAGGCAGTTCTCATATACTGAACTGCACTAAAACCAATAGTAAAAAAGTTCTTCTAATTACCCAGGTCTTAAGATGAAAAAGAACAGCTTCCAAAATATTTCTAGTAGCTGCTTTGGGACTATGATCTTTCTGAGTAAATGCTACCTATTCAATCCTGGGTAACTATTTTATAATAGCATAGCTTTAAAACAACAATATTTGAGAAAGTAAGCTTCACAAAGATAACATTTTTTTGCTGATGTTCACTGCTGTGTCCAAACCAATGCCTGGGTAATAATGAGGGGCCCCAATACCTGTTGGATGAGTAAATATCACAGAAATTTCCCTTAAGTACTTAAGTTACAGGCATTATTAAAAATATATATTATATATCATTTAGTTACAATCATATTAATTCAACCATTAAAAAAACAGGTTTTAAACGTATGGTACTACTTTAGGAAGCTCAAGGGCTGAAGGAAAGGTTAGAAGTGTGGAATTCAGCTGCTGGAAGTCCTCTTCAGTCAAGAAGTCTATAGTAGTTTTCAGGCTTCACTCCAGAAATCCCGTTGTTGACTCTCAGCAAACCAGTCTGTAAAAACCAAACACATGTTTCCTTCATCTGCTTATTTTGACATTTAATAAGAAACTGAACATCGATCTTGCCAGACTGCCTATCCCTACATACTTTACACTACTGATAAGGAAAAGCAAAAGGCCTACATTGTTAAGTTGTAGATTTTCTACCCAGAGGGGAAAACGAGAACATTAAAAGTAACTAATTAATCACCGTTCTTGAAATATCTATCTCTACCAAAATGGCTTAACAAGTTTTTAATCAAAACATTCTTATCTTTTCACCATCATCTTATCCCTCTCATTCTCTGCCTTCTAATTTGCCACAAAACCGAAAAAAAAGAAAAAGAAACCAAAAGTACTCCATTCTTTGACATATGTATGAATGGGGGATACGTTGGAAGATAATAAGTGTATTTGCATAAGTTTTGGACAAGTTTTACAGGGCTTGCTTTGGGCTAAACATTTTAAGCACGCTCAAATCACTTTAGATATAATCACATTTAACCTGTCCCGCTCCAATTTTTTTTTATTTACGATACTTAACTTTTTATTGGTCTTTAGTAAGTTTTATTATTTTTATTATTTACGATAGATCTAATTATGGGGATAGGTTTCTAAAACTTAAGCAGCTCCTTTGTGGTGGTGAAACTCAAGACATAGCAAAAGTGGAAAGCCAAGTTTCCTCCACACCCCTCTTGCCACAGGGGTGCCAGGGAAATCCACTCCCAACTCCGCCATCTCCTAGCTGCCGCCCCTCCCTCCCGGAGAAGACTGAAGCAGCCGCCAGGCTCCTGAGCGCTTCAACTCTGCGCTCAAGATACGCACCAGGGCAAGAGGTACACGAAGACGAACAACACTAGGTCAAAAAGGATGAAGAGCCAGACATCCAGCCAGTAGGAGTGTTTCGGAAGTCCGTTCATCCCGGACTGAGGTGGCTCATCTTGGCTCCTCCTTTCAGCTTCGGACGAGCCTCTCCGTTCCCGAACACAGTCGGTACCACGCGCCGCCGGGCTCACCTCCATCTCTACGTCGCTCCACTTGTGCACACCTGAGTCCAAATCTGAAGGCCGCTACGCGCCCCAGTCTAGTCACTAATTCCCGGCGCCCCGCCCCGCGCCGCCCCGTCCCGCCTCCAAGGCTGCGCGCATGCTTACTCCCTTTCTAGGAACTACCGCGCGCCCTGTTCCGCATCCCCGGGAACGCGCAGACTCAGTTGATCCGGCTGCTGACCTTGGCGCAGGCGCTCTGTTCCACCTCCGGAACAGCGCAGGCGCCCACCCCGCTTTTCAGATTGCGCGCTTGCGGTCTGTATTCCGCCTCGTGTTTCCTGTATTCAGCGGTGGCTTTAAGGTGCAGGTGCGCTGTCGCACGTACCTCACTCTGCCATGCATGACACATAACTGGTTCTCCCGGCTTCTGGAACGAAAATTCTCAACACCTTTTCTCTGAGATGATGCCAGAATTTCAGGAGCCGCCTCAAAGGATTCCAGCCTTGCCCACCCACAAAAGTAGTCTTTTGTAAACAGCATGTGTGGGGGTTTAAAAAACAAACTGAGATTCTCCGATATTGACTTTGGAGATGACAACATTGTGTGGCAATGTAAAAAGGTTGCCAGTCCCCGTAGGATCAAGTTTGTACAGTTTGGGAAGTTTGGATGATTTCTGTACAGACTTGGTCGGGTTGCTCTTAATTTTTGAAACAGTTTTGATGAGTTGGACGTTGTAAGAGTCCATGATTTACCAAAGAATGATACCCCAGACTCAAATGTATGTAAACAAAGTGTTTTATTCTGCAGAAGTCCAGCATGCAGGGATCTCCCATTACCAAGATAGACAATCACGTATGCTCGCAGGCCTAATTTAAAGCACATTAGGGAAATTCTAGGGTAGATGGGCATCTAGCTCTAAGCATTCCAGAAGCGTTATCTTAGTGTGGTGGCTGGAAACTATTGCTGAGGAATCCTGGGGTAGGTGGCCTTATCTTGCTCTATCTTTTAAGGACATTCTGAAACTGTTTACCAGGTTGTGAGGGCTGGGAACTGCAATTGACTCTTTGTCCTTGCTTCAGGCCAGGTTGGGGCAGGAAGACATTTCTGAGGGCACAGCACTTTCTGACTAGCTACCTGAAGCCTGGGTTTTTAGGCCTAGTCCCCTGAACTGCCAATCTGCAGCCTTTCATGGAATTAGCCTGACTTATCCATGTCCCAACTGCAATAATGAATTTTCAGAAGGATCAGTGAGATTTACATGTGGGAGTATTTTTAATAAGCCACTCAACTCTATGTCAAAACATCTTGTAAATAATAGATAAAAACTTGTTGGAGTCTTATTAGCAGCCCACTAACTTCTACCAACCAGATAACCCAGATAGCATCTTGGGCCTATAGCAAAACTTCTTTCTCCCTTCCTGAATCTTCCTCTCTAATGCACCCACCAATGAAAGCATTTTGGACATGCCTTGATTTATGCCTTTCTTTCTTCTGTAAAACGATTTTGAAAACTTGATGAAACTGTTTCTACCTGGGAACATGTAACTGAGGGTAACCTATAACTATGTTCACATGGTCATTCAGGGTGGCTCCAGAGCTCTTTTCTTTCTTTCTTTCTTTCTTTCTTTCTTTCTTTCTTTCTTTCTTTCTTT